CTGGTTTTTTAAAGAGAAGCAGTTACACTATTACAGAAACTTTAAAATATGTGGGAGTTACATGGCTGGGGCTGCTGCAGCTTCAGGAGGAGTGAATAGTGAGGGTGGGCCGTAGCACATGCCAGAAGCTGGCAAGATTTTCAGTGTACAGGGGTGGGACAGAGGAGCAAGCCTCATCCTGGAGCAACAGGTTGTGTTCTCACAGACGAGAAAAGGAGGGTGAGAGATACTGGAACAGAACATCCACATGGGGAGGCATTCTCAATCTGCCAACCTGCCCTGGTGATATCTTGGCACGACTGGTCCTTGCAGGACCCAGGTTGTTGCCGAAGCTTTTCCAGCCTTTGGAGTGTTGCAGCTCTTCCATCTGGACATGAACAGTACTGCCAGAGTTTATTCAGAGCATGTCAGGGGTGACTGCAGAGCGCTGGGAGTAGGGTAAGGTGTGGAGGCATAAGTGGTGTCTCCTGCTGCAGCTGAGACTGGAAGGCTCAAACACAAGTCGACAGATCTCTCAGGACACCTGGTTTTGTTGCTGGTGGTGCAATCAGAGCATTCACACTTGTGACTGCAGGATGTTCTCTGTTTGTGTAAAGAAACTCACAATGACAAAACTGGTGTAAAAATGAAGGCATAGCAAAACCATAGTAAAGCATTTAACTTCTTTCATTTCCCTTCTTATTGACTTTTATCCTTTGATTCTACCTAACTATGAAATTCTTCCATGCTGCAGCTGTACTACAGTGCTGCTTCCAGACTGAAGTTGTGTTACAACAGTCGTTCAGTTGTGGAGGGTTAAAAATACGGAAAAAGCCTGTGAGAACTGGGTAGGATTTTTTGAGTTAACGGCTCAGGAGCATCAGCAAAGAAAATAAGTGTCAGTGCCAGTTATAGCAGCCACAAGAGTGCTGTGAGCTGCTCAGCACCTCCATGAGACATCATGAAGGAGGGAGCAGATGAAAAGGTAGCAGTTTACATAGACTATATTTGAATCTTGTTTTAGGAAAAAAAAAAGTGTTGTGTATGACCATCTGTGGTTGTGTATTTTTACCACATGTTAAGCATGTTTTTATCCATGATGCCATAAAATACAACAGACTTACAGAATAGAGTTAGAGCTTGGGGATTTGTCCTGTAAAGAGAAGGATATCTGCAAGGCCTCTCTCTCTCAATGGTCTCTTGTAGCAATTTGAGGTACAAATAGAAATTAGAACATTAGCTTTGAGGCTCACCTGCATTGTATGTGGAAAACATAAAGGCATTCTGGATCAGAACATAAAGACTTTCTTGATCTCCATCCTGGACAAGTGGGTCTGGAATGTGAACCATGTGAAAATCACCATTTTTTGAGGAGAACTGTACAATGCAATGTGCCTGGATGTGATGGAGAAGAGCAGTCTAACACTTGGTATCTGTCACCTGGGAACAGGAGATTTGTCAGAGAGAATATATCAGCTTATAACTGTGGAAGATGCTCTATTTTATACATCTGTGAATCCCGTAATTGATTTCTGTGACAAGGATCAGGGATCCCTTTTGGGTGTTGGAGCTCACAATGGGAGTCATTAAATGGCAGAGTATACCCCAGCTGCAGCTGCCTTCTTCCTTCTCTGGCTTCTGTTTCTGTGCTAATAAATACTCCAATAATCTTAGAGAGCACCGCAGCAAAGTTTGTATTTGTGTATAGCACTTGAATGAATGTTTTCTCTGCCTCAGCTTCCAAACTCACCTGACAAGCCGGAGCCTGACATGACTTGCTTGTCTACAAGGAAGTGGTACAGCACTATTGGCCAGGGTAAATATTTTGCTTCTGGAAAACAACTAGAATGACAGTAGGATAATTTGACTTTAATTTTGCTGTTTCTACCTAATGTATTAGAAAACATTCTTGTTTGCATCTGTATATCTGTCCTTATAAGACCCATATCTTCTGTCGTGGGCTGTGTTCCAGCCTGAGTGCAGGCTGGAATTCAGGACTCATATTCAGCAAGCAGCTGGGAATAAAGAACATGTGATGTGCCTGGGTAGTATTTGGCAGAACAAATTTAATCCACCTCTCTGAGAAGAGGAAGATTTTGCAAGTCAAATGCTTTCTGATAGAGGCATGAGAGAGTAGACCATGAACACAAACAATAGCAGAAATCTTTGGGGAAAAAAAAAGATACATAGGTGGGATAATTATTTTGGGATGGGATGAACAAAAGCAGCAGTTTATTCTTGTCTTACACACATGGCACAACATACAGAACCAGCACAAATAACTTACAAAATCTCATACACCATGCTTCCTCTTGAATAGCTTCTATTAAGTTACAACACCATAACGAATCAGGTATTTAGTTACGACAGATCTCCAGACATGGATAGTCTCCCATTAAAGGAGTTATTATTTTTGTAAGCTACTTAGACAAACATCTTTTTTTTTTTTTTTTTTACATGTTGAATACAGTACAGTATCCTTAACAGAGTTCAAGATATTCACAATGAGAATTGAATACTTTATAAAACAGCAGAATTTCTCACCTCAGTACAGGCCAACATTCGCTCTCCTGCCTCTTTCTGGTTTAAAATGTGTTACAAGTCGTCTTTACTCAACTTTCCCAACTAAGAATTGCTTTAAATGAAAAAAAACAAAAAACAACTAACAACATTTATTTACAGGGTTTTTTTAGATTTAATAAAAATGTCTTTGCTTCCTTTTCCCATTCAACCCCCATACCCCCAACAAAAACTGACATTTAGCTAGTAGAAATATTGACCCTCAAGCTGCTATAAAAATTAAACAAAAATAAATAAATTGGTGACGACTTGCTGGATACAAAATGAAAGATGATCATCACAGCCCAGCATTAATTCAAAAAGATGAGTTGTTATCCCCTAATGTCATATTTTGTGTTCATTGGAGACAGATGATGCCTGTCATCTGATTTCTAGAGATAATGAACTACTTATGGGCCAGCATACTAAAACCTCCATATTTTTTAACTGCAAGATGCCCCACTCTCTTTGATACAATCATTTCCAGCTTAGTTATTTACTTTTCAGAAGTTGTAACAGTTCTGATTGTGTTGTACTGACCTAAACTCTCCCAGTCTACATTGGATAAAACAAAGTTTCCCCATATCCATGGTCCCAGTGACATTTCTGGGTTGACTCAGAAGAGTTTTGCTCTGTGATTGCACCTCAAAATCCACTGAAGCCTGTGGGCATCTTTCCTTTCATTTGGTGGCTTTGGATTAGCTCTGCTTGAATGTGGCTGGCAAACTCTAGCCCTTAAGCAGTTAATCAGCTTTCTAAAGAAATAATCAAAAAAGATTCCTCTCCTTTATACATACAATACGCAATATTTTTACATTTAGCATTATCATAAAAAGCATGTTTATGTTATTTTGAAAATGTATTTTTACAGAAATCTATAAACACTGTTGTATCAAACACATTCTCAAAAACTGGAGAAAATACTGACACAAAAGCTGGAAGAGCCTCAATGGAATTCTTCCAGTACTATTTGTCTACTTGCATATTTCATATTTCAGTGTCCTTTCCTGCAAACATAATTTGGCCATATGAGAACAGGTAAAGTAGACAACAAATCCCCAACAGTTTTAAGTAGGACCTAGGTCTGTTGTTTAATGAAAGTAGATTGACATTCAATGTATGTTTGGTTTGTTCTAACCTGGCATGCCCATTTTGCTACCTTTACTCACAATGAGCAGTACCTTAGTTCCCAAGTAGTCTCATTTGCTTCAATGGGATTACATGTGACAAATGATGTATGCAAAAATACTGAAAATCATTTTCCACTTTTTTAACCCTTCTTATGTCGACAACTAACATCACTATCTTCTTCTTTATATATATTGTACTTGAAAATGAAGTAGGACTAATATTTGCAAACAATTCTGTATCAGAAGTTAGTGCACAAACTTTAGGAAATAATCTGCTTAGAGTTGTGCTATAGTTCTGACAGCCTAAAAACCTATCTGGTATGACCAAGACTAAATTTCACAGGTCTAAATGCTTTATTTGTACCCTTGTTATTATTACACTTGATATTTCCTCAGCGTGACATAATTTAAGTTTAAATAGACACGTGTCACACTGACATGAAGTCAGGATGTTATTTTCCCTTACCACCACCATTGTCAGTACAGTCAGTAATGTACAGTAATTCATATATAATCAAAGTACTTTCCAAGTACTTTTTCTATGTAATATTGGAGAAATGATAAAGTGAATTTGGTTTTCTCTCCTGCAATATTTTAAGAATACACTGAAGTTTGGATATTGGTACTGACTGTAATGGCATTTGTTACAGTCCAGGAGGTTAAACACAGGAAGTTAAACAGCAGAATAAGGTTTTCTTATTTATCTCACTTTTTTGTTTATTTTTTAATGAAACTACAAAAAGAAAACAAAAAAAGGATCAATTTTTTTTAGTACCAGTGAATAGTTAAAATATAATTGGTGAAAAGTAATTGATTGTAATATCCTGTATGTTACCTCATCTCAACAGAAATTCTTTTGCATGGCTTGAAATGTTTAAAGTGTAATCTTACCTAGAGAAAAAAAAAGCAAGCCATATCTAACTCCAAATTTTAGCTATACTGTAACACGTACAGTCACCCGTAAAGGAGCCCTTTTAACAAAAAAAGGTATGCTAACTTGATCATTAGTTTGAAGTATCTATTTTGGTCACTGCAATAAAAAAAGTTATATATATAAACTTACTAAAAAATGCAAGTGTAAGAAATTATATAATAGTTCTACACTTAAAAATAATAGTTTTACCCAACATGATATGTAAAACAAAATGTTGAAAAAATGTTCATTCTTTGGGATGATCAAAGTATAAGTAACCAAAACTTACAAATATTAATTAAATTTTCATAAAAGAAGGTTTTTGGTGGAGGGGCAGAAAGAACTCCCCCCCTACTCACCCTCAATCCCCATGGCTTTTATAGATCCATCCCCTTCCCTAATAAGCCACAGGTGGGGTCTTTTTTTTGGATATATTGTAATAAGGTTTTCTTCTTCTATATATGAGTCACTAATAAGTGACTTTTCAAAACAAAGTTTCTCCTTCTTGAGGTTTACAGTGCTTTAGAATTTACAGGCCACTTAAACTCTAGAAGAATATTAATCTGAACTTATTATGTTAAAGTTTAATGAAATAGAAATTCTGTTATTTAATGTGAAAATTAAGTTACCTTCTGTTCTGATAATTCAATCCAATTTTATTTCAAATCCCCTGCCCCTCTTGAAAAAAAAAAGTTTTGTAGTTAAAAGCTTGTAATTTTACATAGCAAATAAAAAAAAAAACCAAACTGCTCCTTGCCAATGGAAATATATATAATTTTTAAGGTCAACCCCTCTCTAAGCTGCTAACCATCACATAACATATGCCATTTGGCAATTTGTCTCCTAGGATATTCACAAATTTCTTTCCAGTGCTCTCCACCTGTTCCTTCTGCTGAAGATCCCAAGGTTAACTGGCCAATGACCTCATTCCTTGACCCCCTATCTGAATCTAAAACAAGAAATTCAATGCTGATATCATCAAGGCCCTCACAAGGAATGTCAAAAACAAACAATTCATTGAACACTGCATTGGGGGTGCACTTCTTCACATGGGTTTTCTTTTTAGAAATTCTCTTCTTGGCATGGTACAGGTTCACTTTGACATAAGGGTCTGCAATAAAAAGAAAAAGCACAGATCAGATATTGAACAGTGTTTAGAGATTGCTTGGTCCAGTTGTTGGTAAATTCTGTAATTTACTTTAACATATAATATACATATCTATAATATATATATATATATAATATTAAATATCATTATATCACAATGAATAGTTATTTTAAGTTATTAAACATTATTCATCTAATATATTTTTAAATTTTTTATTTACATAAGAATTAACCTCTTTAGTTTCCCTTTATGGGCACCAAAATTGTGTTCAAGGCAGGCAGTGAACTTTAGACTGCAATCAAATGCAGGTGTTTCCTTCAAGAGATAAATCTTGTCCTGCAGTCCATTAAAAAAAGAACACCTCTACCACATTCAAAGATGGTCTGAAAGTATACAAAATTCTCAAGGTGTCTAAAAATATGTATCATTGCTTATTTTTGTGTAATTTGCTTTTCATAGATTCTACTGGGTATAATCACCAGCACTAATCAAACTCATAAATAGAAAATCTTCAGAAAGGAGTGGATATACTTGGGCTGAGAAAATGGATGTGATATTTCTGTTGGGGTTTTACTGACGTCAATTAACCTGATTAAATTGAGGCCACCAATTGCTATTGAATAAATTTGACACTAAACTTTAAATGTGAGGGTATATTTGCTGTTGGAATGTGTATCTCTCTTTACACCTGTGCTGTTGATTTTGAGAAGGGAAAATGTCCATATTTTTTGCTGCCAACCAACTTTGAGTGTTTGCATTCCTCATAATTATTTAATTGTTGTGAGGTTTCCTTGCTATGATCTTCTATAATGGCCATATTTGTTCATTCAGAGGTGACATTTTAAAAATCAACCCTTTCAATTACCTTGGCATTTATTCAGTGAAATTGTGGGCCTGTTCCCAGGTTCTCATGGTGCAGTGATGTAGTACAAAGTCTTATTTACTGAACCCAGTCAAACATGTTAGTTTATGCAAATAATCAGCCAAATTAATAATCAAGAATGCCTGAATACTTTTTTTAAAAAGTAATACTAAAATCAAACAGTCTAATACATTTTATGTCACAGTTATCAGAGTGAAATGGTTGGGTAAGTAAAAGTTGTTTTTGCTTGAACTGATAATAGTCTACCAGATTTCACTGTCCTTCTCCAAGACTGATGTTGGGATGAGGGGAAAGCCACAGAGGAAATTGTGGCTGTCCTAAGTGCAGCATGCTACTGACACCCAAATGTCCATTGCACCTGGCCTTACTGATGAACAGAAAATAATGAAAAACTGTTTAAATGAAGTAGGTGTCCAGGTGCAACATGGCTGCCTGCAGAAATACTGCATTCTCATTATAGTTTAGCAAGGCTCTCTAGGGCAATGTAGGAAAAGCAAATAAATTTTATAGCTTTACTTGTAAGAGGTGCAGTAAAAAATGGATGTTCCATAGGGTCCAGGTGGATTCTGTGACTCAGAGTGCTTTTTTTACTGAGTTATTTTCCCACTTGGGTAAACTTCAGGCAGGTCTATTGATATCAGCTAGCTGTCATGCTGTCTTCATGAAACCACCACTATCTCCTGTGACTTCAGGGTTGATTTTTGTATCTTTTAGTCAAGTAAATTTTTGGGCTTCAAATACATTCCTTCTCCTTCTGATATGTGAACAAAATTTAGATCAAAAGGAAGATTTAAATGGAACTTGATGAGAGTTACCTATATCTTTGTTGCATTGGATTCAGGATGGGCTAACTTTCCAGGTAAATTGCAGTATGAGAAACAGAAAAACTGTATTATTGGCTGCAGTGATATTATTATTAATTCAGTGACACTGAATTATTCAGTGTTTCCCAAAACTACTTCCTCTTCTGCTTCTTTCATAATATTGAGTGAAATGAAAGATTACAAGTTCTATAAAGAAGCAGCAGGAGATGTGGTACTACAGCCCTTTTTTGTGTACTGTTTTTCTGTGTGGCAGTCTTATAAATAGGACATTGAATTTTATATTGTTATTATGTTATATAGCCTTTGTATGTCTTCTATGTTCAATTCTAGAATTGTCTTCTGAGGAGGTTCCATTGAATGAGAAATGGCAGCAGACAGGGAGAAGAGAGGATAAAATCTGATCCCTCTTAGTGCACTGCAAGTTTGGCTCACAATAAAGCAAGAGTGTCATGCTGCAGCCTCCTCCCAGCAGTGGCACAGCTCACCTTTTCACATTGCCAAAAAAATGTTGGTGTTCAGTGGGCCAAATTCAACACAGAGTAAGAGGCTTCTTTTCTTCATAAATCATATGATGATCTCACTCAATACTGATCTTCTACAAATAAACTCTTATTTTTTTTTCATAAATAAAAGCTTTTGGTATCTGCAAACAACATCCCACGCTTATGGCAGATGGGTTCTGTTCAAGACAATCATAAAACTCATTGGTTTCCACTGCTAACAGATGTCACCTTTTTTTGATGAGACTGAAGAACAAATTTGTAAAATACATATCCTAGAAATAAAGCACTGACCTAGATATGAATAAAATGAATAGGCTGTAAATAATAAAAACACCTGCATTTATGGAATATTTTTAGTCTCTGAAATGCCACATTTCAGCTGTCTTTTTGTCATTCTCCTTTATATTCTTCAGGCATATTCATTATTAAAACCATTACCTGATAATCCTGACACGTCAGATTTAGGTAGATGCCTGGCTTTTAGAACAACGACAGTGAGTGTGTTTGTTGTAGATTGATAACAGAGAGAGACCAGTAATTCTCCACGACCAGATGATTTCTGAGGAAATTAAAGGACAAAAAAAATAAAAAATGGAATAGAACTATTTATAAGCAATTATATTGACCAAGTTTTAAAACAGAGTTGAAAAGGTTTATGAAATGTCTGAAACTGTGTAAAAGGACATAACATATGGAGCTATTCTGATTTACATAGTGAGTATAATTCCCCTCTATATTAGTTATATAAATTTTCCTATAATTGGTTATCAGACTTAACAAAAATTAAAAAAAAATAGACAATATAAGTTGATATGAAATTACTGTCTTTGGAGAGTAGAAATTAAATCCTGAGAGGGAAAAAAAGTCATTTAAAAAAGAAAATTATCTTAAGCAAAGCAAAATTGCATAAAGATATATTGGGAATAAAAATCTAGTACAAGTAAAGAAAAACTATTCAGTAAAGTATTTTAAACAGGAAAGATTCAAACTGTCAGTGAAATCTTATCCCCTGACACTCTCTAAAGCAGTATAATACATATAAAATAAAGTTGAGATCAAAGATTTCCTTTATGATTATTTGATTTGAATTTTCAGGAGTAGTTTATTTCAAAGGGAGAAAGAAGGCAAGGGAAACAAGAGAAGCTAGTACCTTGTATACCAGAAAATCCAATAAGTTATCAACAAAAATCAGTAACGTATTTGTTGTCATATAGTGCTAGAAGTGCAAAATAACAGTATTAGCTATCGGTATGTTGCCTAATTGACTTTTATTTTATTTGGCAGTATGCTTGTCATTTCAGACCAATCATGTTGAACGTCAATACACATTCCACTTCCTTAGCAGAGATTTAAGAGATGTGTGTGTGTGATGCCTGTGCATTTCTATGGTTCAGCTGGGGTGGGTGTAAATGACCCTTCCGGTCTGAACTGAGACAACACAGCATGAAATATTTTTGTCCCAGTGAAGTCAGGAAGTTCTCTTGGTAACTCCAGCAAGTCTATGGCTTCACCCTTACTACCTTTAGTAAAGCTGCAACCTGTATCATAATTCATGAGAAACAAGGTGGTGGCAGGACCAACATGCAAGTACATGCTACGACATCAGCAATGTGGTCTTTAGCAGGTCCCACTTCCCTAACTAAAGACTACTACGTTCCTAAAGAATGTGCTACACAGCCCATGCAGTTGACATTTTCATTGACTTCAGTAAGATTTAAGAAAGAATGGTGCAAAATATAAAAGGGGATGGAGGATAAAGGGAATAATACATAAATATTTTTATTCTTTCATTGAAAAGCAATTAAAAGTGAATCAGTGGGAGTTGAGTCTGCTTGAGCTAACTGGAGTGGGTCCACTCAAACCTGCTGGACCAGGTGAACAAGAAATTAGATCTTAGGGCATTAAAAACTTATTTCAACATGCTGTTTGTAATGTTTTTGGATTTTTCTTTTTATTGCACTTGTGTAATGGCTTCCTCACACTGCCATTAGCAAAGCATCTCAGGAATTGTAAGGTGAGCTTTTTGGCTTTTCTTTCCAAGATGGCAGCAGCATTACACAAGAATCATAGCTAACCCTATCACAGCAATTTCAAACTTTTAATAAAAAAGATGTTACCCTAACATTTCTTTTGATGATCTCTCTGTCCATTAGTAGCCTTCCTTCCGAGAGTTCAATTCCAGCGAGAGGGATGAGGACTTCTCCAATGACATCATCTCTGGAAAATCTGTCGAAGCTCAAGACCATGAAGTGAAGTGTTAAGTCTTGAATTTGGCTGTAGGGGATCCCATAAAATGTGAAAGTTTCATCAAAAGCTGGATCTAAGGTTTTTCTCAGCACTCTGGTTTTCACCTTGTGCTTTTTCTCAGGCAGGATTGTCATTTTGATGTAGGGATCAGAAGTCATTGACTGTTCATCCATTGCTGGCAGCCCACGAGCTTCTTTGATGTTCACTACAAATGCTTTTCTCTCAAAGTTGTACTCTAAGGAGAAAAAAAGAGTTCCTAGCTTGTCTTGTTTATCTTCAGATGAGAGTGAAGTGATGGATTTAATGCTATCAGGGGATACTGAATCTTTCTTCCTTTCTGCAAAATGCTTAGGAGATGAATTTTCAAGATCTGGAAAGCCCTGCATTTTTGCGGTTGTTTTGGGGAAATTGCCATTTAGATCTCTCTTCTCGAGGTCAAGATGGAGAGAATTCTTTGGCATTGCTGATTTGTTCTTTGCTTCATTTTTATCATCTGCTCCAAACTTCTTCTTGCTGTTGAGATTCTCAGGGTAAATATCAACCCCCTTCAGAACATGGACAAACTTGTATGGAGGGGTCTTATTGGACTTGGAAGATTTGCGTTGGCAGCAGATCCAAGCAAAGAGGGAGACAGAGAAGATAAGGCCAAATGCACTAAAGATCCCAACCACTGCAGGAATTTCATCTGCAAATCAAATAAATAGCAACAAGCACATAAGCAGCAATACCTTAAATTCTGCATGATATTTAATAGAGCAATAATTCAGTAAAACAAGCTGATACGAGATGGTGATATTAGCAGGATTGACAGACTGGAAATGCTCTGCATTGTACACATTGCTCGCCACCTGCAGGCACCAGTGTGCAGTCCCACTCTAAGACATGCTTTTTATGCTAGAATTTTTCCATATGTGGAAAGTTAGGGAGGAAAATACTATTCCCATCCTAATAATAATCACTGTTCATAATTTTTCTACTGTCTCAGTAGTTTCTGAGCTTATATGTCTGTGAATAATACCATCTCTCAGCTGTTTTCAGCTTTGGGTTTATGGAGGTTTGTTGATTTGCTAGAAAACACTCTGAAATATACATTATTTACATCTGCTCTCCATAATGTTTCATAGAATACTTTGTACATTCAATTAGTTGTTTTTTAATGGTCTGGTCCCATAATTGCCTGGAGGTATCTCTTGGAAGAAGTGAGTTTAATAGGAGGTTATAGCACTCAAGAGTTTCACTGTGATTTTTCAATACTTTACAGGAGGAAGTCTATCAATAAAATTAAGAATAATTATATAGCAGGTGTCTTTTCCAGATGGATGTGACATTATGCAGCACATGTGAATTCAAAGCTGAAAAAATCATGTTAAGTTTATCATTAATAGCTACTAAGCTTTACATTTAAGACACTGAAGTAAATCTTACAGGGAGTTCACAGAAAGGGTCAGTACTTCTTAGAAGTATATAAGAAAAAACGTTAAAACATAATTCTCTACAGTTTTAATATGAATCCTATACTTACGTTGAATAAAGAGAAACTTGAGCAAGTGTTACAACCTCCATTGCCATGTGGATATATTATTTACATATGGAGTATCATTAGCCTTCAAAGCATGCATCAAAGGGTAAATGAGCACAACTAATTAGAAATCCAATTTTGCCCATAAGTAACATTACTAAGTGAGTTTAAACCTCCCACAATGTAACAATCAGAGCTTAATCTTTATTCCCTGGAACCCTGGATGTCCAGTAGAATATTAATGTCATGACATTGTTTATGCATAAAGGCAATTATGTAACCGTTCTGTTTCTCTCTGGTCGTTCTGGATGAGTAAAGGAAAACTATCCCTCCGTATTAGTAAATCAGCTTAATCCAAGCAAAAGCTGGGCAGATAAATGTGCTGCCAATACACCTTTGCTTTTTAGTGTGATGATTCAGAAAAAAAAAAAAAAAATCCACAACAATACTATCAGAGCAAAGTAGGACATAATGTTCCAGCACAGAAAGGATCAGGCCTGGCTATTAATTTTTTATGACACTTTTCTGATGCTTCCAAGCTGTACTAGTCTGCATACTTAATTGCAAGAAGTTAACGAAATGACTGAATACGATACACATAACCAAAAAGTATTTTTCCTAACTTAAGCACGTGGGTTTGAGTTTCAAAAATTCCCTGGGCTGCAGAAATTGAAATATACATGATAAAAAAATAGAAAGCTAAAAGTAATTGAAAACTAATCAGAATATTTTAGAATCTTTTAAGAATGGTTTGTGCATTACAATACTTTCTCATGAAATAATAGACTTTTCATACTAATGGTTGTTATGTTCTACTTTAATTCTACAACTACTGAAAGTAGGGGTAGAATCAATTTGATGTTTAAAATATTAATTATCTTTCTTAAATAAGTAATTAGACAAGCATGATGTCACAAGTGTGGTTAGAAACCTCAAGTGGGTGGAATAGGAAAGAAGATGAAATGGTAACAAAAATGGTTTTATATTTACAACTAATTGTGTCACAACATGAATTTCTTGCTTTTGTCATAATCAATTGGCTAATATTCAAGGCAGTGCATTAGTAGAAAACATCACCTACTGATTCTGGGAGAACTTATTTTTCCAGTTATGTGATATAAATCTGGAGTCTCTTCACTAAGTCAGTGGAGTGATCCTTGAATCAAACCACTGCTAAAGCAAGAGTAATATAGGCTAGAGTCAATATTTGTAAAGCAGAGTTCAGAAATGTTCCCTTTTACTGCTTTTCTGACTAAAGCAACTTACTTATGCATTTTATAAGTGCACATACATGACTATTTCTGAAACTTCTGGTAACACACTACATGCAGTGAATTGAAAGAGCCAAACTGAAAAGTTCATTGTCATCTTTGTTATTCTCAATGAGTCCGGGTTGGTTAAGATGCAGCTGTTCAGCTAAAAACACTGAAATTTGTATTTTCATCTTCCTAGCAATGTCCTTTCACTTTAACTAACACTTGACCTACAATAATAATAAAAGGAATGGCAACTATTCCAAGAATGACTTGAAGAAAGATTTTCTCTGTGGCACAAGATGCATTATCATCATCTAACTCTTGATGCACGTTACTTTAACACAGACACAGAAAACAACCCCAAACCTCTCTTCTCCAAAACCGCACCTACCAAAATCTCTTTATCTCTTCCGGTACTTTACCACGGAGGAGGAACGGGGAGGGAGGAAGGAAGAGAGATTAGGGAAAGAAAGCAAATTCACTCAACTTCTGAGACCTGAAGAGAAGTGGGGGAAAACCAGATCTCCCTCAACAAGCTGCATACTGGGAGGTACCGGGAGGCTCAGCAGATGCTGCTCCTGTCGCTGGGAGGGGAGAATCGCCCGGCCCCGGGTGCGGGGAGCCGGGACGCGCTTACCGAACTGCTGGCGGCTGTCCGCTATCGGAGCCATGTTGGTGGCGAGCGATGTCCGCGGTGCTGAGCCGCTGTCCGCGGTGCTGAGCCGCTGTCCGCGGTGCTGAGCCGCTGTCCGCGGTGCTGAGCCGCTGTCCGGAATGCGGGAGCCGCCTGTCCGGGATGCGGGAGCCGCCTCTCCGGATGCCAAGCGACCCGCCAGGGGCACCAAGCGCGCTGCGCTGCTGTCCCCTGGCTATCCGCTCTCACGGCGCCGGGGTAAACGTCTTTGCCAGTGCAGTTAAAAAGGAAAAAAAAAAAAAAAATTAGAAAGAGGAAAAAAGGAAACAACAACAAAAACCAACCAAAACCTGAAGACACGAGCAGTGGGGACAGTGGAGGAGGAGGAGGCTGCGAGGGGACTGGAGGAGAGGGGGGAGGGGAACCTTCGGTCCTCCCCTTTGCACACTGATTTGCAACCCCCTTCCTGTTTTGGCTGTTCTGAGTAGCTCCGCTCTGAGACTGAGTACGTGGTTGAAACCCAAATTGACGCAATCCTGACGCTACAGGGCTGAAATCAGCACCTTTCCCGCCTCCCTCCCCCTCTCCCTAGCCACCACACCCTCCCTCCCTTCCTCTCTGTCTCTGTCTCTCCCTTCCTACACCCTCCTCCTTCCCCCCTCCCCGTCCCTGTCTTGGGACTGAACACGCACTCATTGATTATTTTAACTGCCTTGCTGCAGGTTATGAGCTCCCCCACACACCCCTTCACCGGACACAGACAGTGAAATGGCAACGTCTGTGATTCAGCGCACCCTCTGAAAGACATGGGTGTGCCTCTTTTGCCAGGGTAAGATCTATTCATTTACTTAATTAACTATCAGCTGTACAGGTTACAACAACGTGAAAGAGTTGCCAACCAGAGACAGTCCAGACACCTCAGCTCCAGCTGCAGGGCACGTTTTTCCTATGACTGACGTGATACATTTACTGAATTTGAGTCACAAAAACTCCAGATGTGACTTGTCCCTGTGCCTCCTTCCTGCTTCCTGCCAACATCTACCCACACATAAACATTCAGCCCCCAGTTTGGAAATCCTCTTGATCTTCCTGCAGGTCTGGGAAAGAGATGACTTTACCTAGATACTTCTAGATTTTACTGGTATAGATGTCTTGTCTCCCAGTGTGAACTGAGAATGTGGCAGGGAGACAGGGAGACTCTGGCAGACAAGAGAATTGTGGGGGGAACAGGACAAGAAAGCGGGGCTGCCTGTAACTAGAACATCTACAGTGTATAATAAATCAAACTAACTCCTTGAAACAGAGCTGCAAAAGCCAGCACCTGGCATCTGACTCCTCCTGGATTCAAATGGAAGTATAGCAGCCTGGTTTGGAGCTAATTCTTCTGTGTAAATGGGAAACAGGTGGTGTTGTTTCTCTAAATAACAAAATCCAGATGCAGACATAGTCTTGCATGACCTTACTCCATGGTCAGCCACTTGGAAGCTAGTATGTCTTGCCCCATTTAAAAGCACAATCTTCCTTCTCAGTGAAATCAGTGAAGCCCCTGGGATTTTAGAAAAATTAAAGCACAAAGATCATGGAATCATAGAATATCTTGAGTTTGAAGGGACCTGTAAGGATCATCAAAGCCCAACTCCTGGCCCTGAGCAGAACACACCAAGGATCCCACTGTGTGCCTGAGAGCATTGTCAAAATGCTTTGTGAACTCTGTCAGGTTCGGTTTTGTGTCCACTGCCCTGAGGAGCCTGTTACAGTGCCCAAACACTATTTGGGGGAAGAGCCTTTTCTGAACATCCAGCTTAAACCTCCATGACTGAGCTTCAGGTCGTTCCTTCATGTCCTGTCACTGATCACCACAGAGAAGAGACCAGTGCCTGCCCCTCTGCTGTTTCTCATGAGAAATACACAGAATATAAATACAGTTACATACAGTGACGATATCCCCCCTCAACCTCCTCCAGCTGAAAAGACTAAGTGCCCTCAACCACTTCTCATACTGTTTCACCTCTGGATTGTTCATCATCCTCATAGCCCTCTTTTGGACACACTTCATCTCTTTCCTATGCTGTGGAGCACTCAAATCTGCTCACAATATTAAAGGTGGGGCTGCCCCAGCCCAGAGCAGATCAGGACAATCCCCTCCCTTGCCCGGCTGGCCATTCTGTGCCTGCTGCCCCCAGGACAGGGATGTCCCTCCTGGCTGCCAGGGCACTGCTGACCCAAGTTCAACTTGCCACTGAGCAGGAGCCCCAGGTTCCTTTCCTGCTGCATTCCAGCACCTCATTCCAAATCTCTCCATCATTCCCACTACCTTAATCATCATTACATCCCATTCCTTTTAATATAGTGCAGAGTATAGCTTGGCACTACTGTTCCTCTTACAAACATCTGGAATGAATTTGGGTGTAAGAAGACTGAAGAAATTGTTGTTGAGCTCTTTTTTGGTCTATTTTGGCAGCACAATTTGATTTGGAATACTTAGATTCACATGTTGGCACAAATACAAACAAACCTGGCTCCATGTCTTTATTCTTTCTGGCAATCATCATTCCCCTGGCCCTGCTACCCACTTCTCTTTCTCTGTCCAAAATCCAGCCTTGTTCAAAATGTGCAGACATTAAAAGTAATCACATTTGATTTTAGACTTCATTCCAGGTATATGAACCTCCAGAAATGACTGAAATAAACAAAATCCTAAAAAAATAAACAAAAACTGGAGTTAAGCTTGTATAACTGGATTATTGGATTATTTTAAATTACTATGTCTGGACTTCAAAAACAAAGGACTGAGAATCAATATATGATATATCTGGGTAGTGCATTTATCCTACTTGAACTGGGATAGGGTAAGTATATATATTATGTTAACACTTGAATTATTTTAAGAAATCTTTGAGTACTTTTTTATATTATTTTTTTAGTAAATGCCAAGACTTCCTTTGTCAAAATATACATCATTTAGAGACCACATGGAATTATAAAAATGATTGATTCTTGTTTTCTCCTGTTCAGCTTCTCATAGGTTCCAGGAATATATAAAAAGCTTTTACTCAATATGTTCTTAATTTTTATAATTCACAGGGATCATTTCTTTCAGCAATTTCTTTCTTTTTTTTTTTTTTTTTTTATTTTCTTTTTCTTTTCTGGAACAATGCTGATGAAATGGGGAAGATAGGTGTCCTTTTATTTCTTTTTTTCCTCCTTTTCAGAAATTTGTGATAGTTCATGGTAGGTTTTAGATAGTGATGTTGTGTGCTGTATAAACAAAGAGAGCTCTTCTTTTCATTTCAGTTCTGTGCACATGTATCAGTTTAATAAGGGTAACGTAAAAGAGGTTTCACAACAGCAAGTCTCTGTCTTTAGAAACTTTGAGCTGCCAACTCCTTGTATATACAGAAGCATGTGAAAACATATCTATAGATATGAAAATTAGTCATTTAATCTCTTTATTGCATTGGTCAGTGAAATAGCAAATAAACATTTTTTACATCACACAAGAATCTTCTGTATTTAATACAGGACTCCACATAATGGAACAGAGTGCTCATCACAGAAAATACTTGAGGAGGAGGTGGAGCACTGAGCTGCTGACACATCTCGAGACAGACACACGTTTGCTGCCTGCGTTGTGCAAGCACCATCTAGTGTACATCTCAGACCCATCAGCACTGGATGACGAACGTGCACCCCTGCAGGCACTGGATGTATAACCAACTCACTGCTGATTCATTGCACTTCTGACAAGTGTCCAGAGAGAAAATTGTGTGAATCCTGTGTGTTTCTTAACCAATTAAATGATGGCCTTTTTTGTCCTGCAAAACAGTAATGACTCTTCATTTCTGTGGCTGTAAGTTCTTCACATTTCCCTCCGCTGTAAGGCAGCATTATGTATGCTTCCCTTCACACAGTCTGCAACAGGCTCTTCAATACAAACTCCGTCTAGAAACTCACTGCCGAGGTAATATTCCCTTCTTCCAGCAAACAATGATCTCAAACACTTTCAGCTCAGAAACAGAACATTAAAAGGAGCTGGTTGAGATTTTGCCTGCACTGAATCAAAATGGATTGATCATCTGGAAAATATCACAGTATGTGATCTGGCTGACTGTATCACAACAAGACCTTCTGTGGTCTGAAAACCAGATTACTGGTGCACATGCATGTGCAGAGCATCCCCCTGCTACTCCAAGAAGAGGGAGAGTGGTTGCTAAGTGACAGAGACTGTACACTTCCCAAAGCAGATAGTCCCCAAATACACATATAGGGCTGGAAAACGTGCCCCCACCTGCAAATGATTTGTCACTGTTTTTCAGATCCTCAGGCCTATGTGTGAAGAAAACATAATCCTTTCTGATTACGAAAGAAAAAAACCCCAAAGTTATTTTAAACAAGTGTCCCCCCAGTCCTCTCCCCAGCCCCCTCAAAGTCAGGCAACACTTAAAATGAAACACAGAGATTTATATGTATTAGGGGAAGCTGGGAAAGTAGCCCCTTTCCATCTCTGTAGCATGTGTCCCTGGAGCTTAAAGACAGTTTCACATTTTCAAAAATAGCATATCATTTTGAGTTCTGCAGTTGTCAAGTGCCAAACTACAGACATTAATTAATACTATTCAACACCTATGAAAATCAAGCCCTCCAGCCATGCTTACAATATAAAACCTCAGCAAGAACACTGATATCAGTCCCTGGTTTTGGGAAGTGAAGAAAATTCAGCATTCTGAAAATCAAACAACTTCAAAGGAATCTCCAAAGGATTTAGGTAGTTGTACTTTGGTTAATTTCCACTTCAGTTAGCTCCACAATCAGACAGTAGTAAGGGGCCAGCATCCCTCCCTGTCTCATCTCTCAGCCTTGGACACTTCTTAAATGCTTAAAGGCAAATTCTTGCATGCCACAAATAGCCCTGGACTTATCACCTTGCTGCCGATTTAGCCTTATGACATATTTCCCTAGGTTGCTACTGAATTAATCTTCCTGCATTTCAGTGTTCAGTGCTGCAGTGAAATACTCCATCATGGCTTCCAGTTTCTG